TAAGCTTCAGTCACCTTCAAAATACTCTTTGTTTGATTCAGTACACCTATTAAGATGCTCTTTCCACGGCTCCAGTTTCTGAACTCATCTATTTTGAGGTCTTTTAGTGCTTCTGCAATTTTTTTGCTTCACCTCTCCCACATCAGCAAAACGTTTCCCTTTGAGAATTTTTTTCATACAGGGAAACAAACAAAAGTTCCTGGGGCGAGAGAGGGTGGATGGGGAGGTTGGGGTGTGGGGGGGAGGCCATGCCATTTTTGGTCAAAACTGACACTCAGTGTGGCTGGGCAGGTGTGCTCGTAAATGACCGACCAGGAAACGGGCAAACCCAAAGAAAGAATCTCAACAAAAACAAATGACTGAAGCTGAATGTAACCTCGTACAACACACTAGCTGGTATACTGATGGCAACGGATTCCCAGAACACTTACCTAGCGGGGGAAACCTGTACTACAAGAGGCCTGCCCTCTAAAAGAGAATCTCTGGGTTTTTCTTTTTGGGTCGCCCTCACCCCCGTGTTGGGCTAAGTAAAATATGTCATTAAAATTAATTTTTACCAATTTAATTTTATGTGGCTGTAAGAAAATTTTACATCACATATGTAGATTACATATATTTCTACTGGACAATGCTGTTTTACATACTTGACAGCCCAAAGTGGGCTCCAAGGACCACCAACACTGGTATCACCTGGAGCTGACTCTTAAGGCTCCAGACCTGCTGAGTCAGAGCATACATTTTAACAAGAATCCCAAGACGTATATGCACAATCAAGGTTAAGAGGCATTATTTTATTTTTAAGCACTCAAAGAGAGTAACAATGCATATGATACCAAGTAACTTTTAGAATAAGAAAATAGTCACTACTGAAAAATAAATTCATTCAAAATATTTAAGCTGTATCTTTCAAGAGTTTTATGGGGTGAAAACATTTATAGCATCATAGCAATGGGTATCAAGTGCTATAACAGAACTATTAAGTAAATACCATAGAAGCACAAAAAAAGAAACATGTGATCTGCTTGAAAGAAGTCCAAGTTTCCTCTCTGAGGCCTAGGACTTCTAAGCTAATGTCCATTAATGACACTTTCTTTGGACACCAAACTTTTTCTCCTAAATTAGTGAAAAGCTTGAGTTCTTAGATGAAAAACTGGCTAGTACAGCTTAGCTGCAATCCTCAATTTGAATTTAGGTACTCACAGTGTGCATGACTATAAAATGATTTTCAAATATATTTAAAAGAATTTATGGGTTACTTTGTTTGGGTAGCCCATGCCCTTAAGTGTCTGGTCACTTCTGATATATCTATCTTAATCGACTTTGATGTAACTGGGCAGCCAGATTAATCATCACTTGATCCTTCTCCATTAGAGTTAAGACTACACCTTGCTGGCCTCAGGGCATCTAAAGTAACAAAAAATGCTGCTACACCCATTGTAGCTAAATCTTTTTCCTTTACCAACTGGAGAAGACCCAATTTCCTTTAGTACTTGGGGCTGTCTTACACCTGGACTCAGATTTCATTCATAGGAACTCCATCTGGGGAGGTGAGGACCGGGAACCCTGCTTGGCTGGGGATCTTCCTCTTTCTTTCCTACTGGGTCCTCAAGAAGACATGGGGAAGCAATAAAGTTTGCCTTGGTTTTTCCAGAATCTGTGAGTCCGACTTATCGGGGATGCCAAAAAATGTATACATATTTTAAGAGATGTTATCTATGTATTACTTTTTGAAACTGAATTGAATTATGGTAGCAATGTAGCATGACAAGACGGGTGTGGTGGCTCATGCCTGTAATCCCAGCACTTTGGGAGGCTGAGGTGAGAGGATTGCCTGAGCTCAGGGTTCAAGATCAGACGGGGCAACTTGGCAAGACCTCATCTTTACAATAAATCAAAAAATTAGCTGGGCATGGTGGTTCATGCCTATAGTTCCAGCTACTTGGAAGGCTGAGGTAGAAGGATCGCCTGAGCCCAGCAG